CCCCCCCTCACTCCACTTTTCCTTTTAGAAATGAAACCAAAAAAATCTTCAGCTCATCTTAAATTCAGGATGATTCACATTCATTTAGTTTTAGTGAGAACTTTATGAAACTTGCAAGACTTAAGTCATATAAGTGCACAGATTAGAGGGGTTACAAGAGAATAACAAATATAAAATAAGAAGGGGAGATCAGAATAATAGATGTCTGATGGGAAAGAAGGACTAAACCACACCAGAACACCCAGAGTAGTAGCATTGATGGCCTAGTGGTTGGGCTCTCAAGCTCGCAACCTTAAGGTAGTGGGTTTGAATCCCGTCAGGGGTCCGATGTTGTGTCCTTGGAAAAGGCATTTAACATGAATTTTCCTCACTTCACCCAGGTGGAAATGGATACCCAGCAATAGACGGTGAAAAATCTTGTCAGTTTATTAGTGTTTGAGCACATGAAATCCGCAGTTTGCGCTGTATGCTATCTAGGAAGTTGAGACGGTTTCAGAATGCTATCAGGTCTGCTGGGGTAATACTATCGATTGTAAAGCGCATGGAGCTTGCTGTTGAGAGGGAATTTGCCCTACACAAATGCTATCTATTATTATTATATTATTATTTCAAAATAACACAACATCTCGAGCCTATCCCTCACCTTCTTCTTCCCTTCCTCCAGTAGCTTGGCCAGCTGTTCCTCGTGTTCCTTCCTCAGGCTGTCCAGCTGCTGTTGGTGGTCATGCTTCAGCTCGCGTTTCCGCTCGCTCAGGATCTCGTCCAACTGGAAAAACACACGCACGTGTCAAAAGACATATTATCTGCTCAAAACAGTCACAGACACACACACACACACACACAATCACACATGGGTGCACACACATACACACATGCATGCACACACATGCGCGCACATGCATGCACACACATGCACGCACATGCATGCACACACACGCATACACACAAATGCACACACACACGCACACACACACACACACACACAGACAAATGTACACGAATGAACATAAATACACACACACACACACCCTCACTTGCACATACACATACGCACATATAATCTTCTTGTGTTTCACTAGTAAAATACTGTAAATGCATTTCATTAAAACATGCGTCCAACTTGTTTCTCTGGGCACCACACCTGTTTGCTTTGCATATTCGTTAAAACAAAAGAAATATCATCATATCTACTTAAGAAGGCTCAGTGATCAGACAGCCATAAAACCCTTTCAGGGTGGGTCGAGCCTCAGCTCAGTCCCACGCTATGTCCTTGGGAAAGGCACTTAACACCAATTTTCGACTTGGCTCAGTCCTTTCGGAGATGGACGTTAAACTCGGGAGGTCCTGCCTCTTAAAAAACCTAATAGTGTTGATAGGGGCGTTAAGTCCAAACCATCTCACTAATTTTTTTCCCCTTTCAGGATGAACCCCAAAAGATCAACTTTAGAACCTGTTGTTTCTTATACCACACCATGGAAGTTATACTTTGAAATAGTGGAGAAACAGACCAAACCTCATTTACAACATCATCTCTGCGATCCTGCTAATGGTCTATATATATGGTCCCTTTTAAGGACAAGTGGGTTAACCCAGATTTCGGGGGTTTTCAGAAATCTTGACCTACACCAAAAGTGGGATTGCACTACCTATAGGAGAAGTTTGGTTTCATTGGTAAGTATATTTGTTTGGTTATAGAGAAAACTCTCCTTCACTTTCAAAGAAACTGAACAAGGGGCAAAAACTTAACTTTCGATTTTCTCAAAACAGCATTTTTCGGGATAGCCCCCTTGTGCTTAAAAGCGACCAATTAAACTGTTGGAAGGGAAGGAAAAAGTCTATCCCTTGAGATATAAAAAAAAAGGAGAAGGAAAGATAGTGATGATGGGAGCCTTTGTAAACCCCTCCTCACCCCGCGCTCCAAGTCGTTGATGGCTTGTTGCCTCTTTCGTGCAGCCTCCAATTCTTTCTCCTCTTTCTCCTTCTCTTCTTCGTAGAGTTTGCCCAGCTCTTCCCTCATCTTCTCCATGTGCTGAGGAAACAATTGAACAATTGAATTAATGTAAGTCAGTCCACATATAACATACAAAACAAAAAACAACAAATAAACAAACAAAACAACAGCCTAACAAACCTACGACCATACCAGAATACATAATCTAAGGATAAAAGACACAATTCAGATAACTTGGTAGGTGGACTATTCCATACATGCCTGTTACTGCCCAGCCACACTATATATAGGATGCAGCATCCCAGGTTGGCTGTTTTATAAGATTCTCTGCTAGTAAAGAATCTTTGGTTTTATGGCACTTGCCATACAATTAAGTCATAGAGGTGCCGAAGATTAAACATGTTACAAGAGAGTAACAAACACAAAAAAAGGAGGAGGAGAGATATTGACCACTGATGTGTGACAGGAAAGAATGAGCAAACCACACCAGAACACCCGTCAACCATCCCAGTTAAAAGATACTAATCGGGCGTTACTCAGTGGCGACCGGGTGTGTTCACTTGGTACTGCGTATGCGTGCATGTCAGTGTGTGTGTGTGTGTGTGTGTGTGTGTGTGTGTGTGTGTGTGTGTGTGTGTATGTGTGTGTGTGTGTGTGCAAGCGTGCGTGTATATGTGTGCGTGGTGAAACACCAAACTAATGTGCCGGGATCTGGACAATAAATAAAGATGTATCTTATCTTAGATGGAGCCACTTGACAAAATTAACTTCCCCACAAAGAAAATCGATCTCGCTTCTTCTGCATGCAACAGCTAAGAGCCTAAACTTGCGCTACACACACACATCAGTGCTAAAAGTCTAACTCCCACTGTCCTTACAACTCATTAAAAAAAATATCTCAAAACATAGGTGCAATCGCATATTCGGTGACGATAGGGCGCGTTGTCATAGTGTAACACACAATCATACTGAGAGGAAATTGATTCGTTAAAATCTAAAACCGTTGTCATAACTACAACCGGGTTTTTAAAAAAGTTTTAGTAGAGGTTTTACGGCACTCGCAATTGCATAAGGTCATATGAGCGCCAGAAGACTAGAGGTGTAACAAGAGAGTAACAAACATAAAAAAAGAAGAAGGGGGAGATAAGGACGATAGATGTTTGATAGGGTTTACAAAAAAACAACAACAACCTCCGCACTGTGCGCGATGCTGTATTCAACAGAACTTGCAGCCGCACCGAGAATTTTGTACCTACACGTAGTTCTTGTCTTTTTCAATCACTTCATGCATGCACTCCGTGAGATAACTTTCCGCTTCTTGTCGCTTCTTTCCCCTCCCCTTTTGTCCTACACATCACCACAGACCAAGTCACGAAGATTCTGTGACGTATTTAACAACCCAGACGCCGGGTGTGAATGAACTTTGGTGACCCCTAGCGTGTAACCGCCGGCCACTCAGCGCTCACGCCGCGCTCGCTCACACAAGAGGTCATGTCACCACGTCACGTGATGTGGAAGTTCGGCTTCTTTCATCGGATTAATGGTGGCCGACTCAGCAGAATCGGGAAGTGGGTGGTTGGCGGGTGCTTTGGTGTGGTTTGCTCCTTCTCTCCTATCAAACATCTATCGTCCTGATCTCCCCTCCTTCTTTTTTTGTGTGTGTTTCTCTCTTGTAGCACCTCTGATCTTCGGCACTTATATAACCTTATTGTGTTGCAAGTGCCGTAAAACTCTTACAAAAACTTAAAGAATTGGGATGAAGCCTGACTTTACACAGTGATCGTTGGAAGCTTTGGGTTTTTGTGTAAAAAGAAGCACACCGACACAATAATGGTTCTTCAGTGCTGGGGGG